TATATTCTATAGAAGAAATAGAAGCATTTCACGAAGTTTCTGTTTTATAATTAGAAATCCCAGAGCTAGTAAGTTCTCGAATTAGTCATTTTTAAAGAGACATCATTCGACAAATATTAAACAAGATTCTAGAGGATTCTGAACGTAAAACTGTCTGAAATTGAAGAAAGAAGATAACCAAAGAAGTTTAATTAAGTTTCTAGGATAATGTGGTTAGTTTCGACGTTGCCATCCAAGAAAGGTTGGAAATAGAATTTCCAGAAAATTTTAGATTTTGTAGCCGGAAGAATTGTGGATGTTCTGGAAAATTCCATAGAAGCTCATTTCCCTAATGGTATGGAGCAATTTTGTGACAAAATAAACCAAGAGTGGTTTTCTAAACAATGCATTGAAAGAAACAATATGAACGAAATTCTAAAATTATAGTGAGTTCGTAAACAGAACGAGATTTTAAGAAGAATCTTCAACCGTATTCTCAAACGAACATTCTATAGGAAAAATAGAAGCATTTCTCGAAGTTTCTGTTTTGTAATTAAAAGTCCCAGAGCTATAGTAAGTTCTCGAATTAGTCATTCTCAAAGAGACATCAATCGATAAATATTAAACAAGATTATAGAAGATTCTTAACGTAGAACTGTCTGAAATTGAAGAAAGAAGATAACCGAAGAGCATCATTAAGTTTCTAGGATAATGTGGTTAGTTTCGAAGTTACCCACCAAGAAAGGTTGGAAATAGAATTTCGTGAAAATTTTAGATTTTGTAGCCGGAAGAATTGTGCATGTTCTGGAAAATTCCATAGAAGATAATTTCCCTGACAGTATAGAGCGATTCTGCGAGAAAATAAACAAAGAGTGGTTTTCTAAACAGTGCGTTGATAGAAAAAATGTGAACAAAGATAAAAAATTCCAGTGAGTTCGTAAATAAAAACAAATTTTAAGAAGAATCTTCGACCACATTCTTAAACATTCTATAGAAGAAATAGAAGCATTTGTCGAAGTTTCTGTTTTGTAATTAGAAATCCCAGAGCTAGTAAATTCTCGAATTATTCATTTTTAAAGAGACATCAATCGACAAATATTAAACAAGATTCTAGAGGATTCTGAACGTAGAATTGTCTGAAATTGAAGAAAGAAGATAACCGAAGAAGTTTCATTAGGTTTCTAGGATAATGTGGTTAGTTTCGACGTTACCCTCCAAGAAAGATTGGAAATAGAATTTCCAGAAAATTTTAGATTTTGTAGCCGGAAGAATTGTGGATGTTCTGGAAAATTCCAAAGAAGCTCATTTCCCTAACGGTATGGAGCAATTTTGTGACAAAATAAACCAAGAGTGGTTTTCTAAACAATGCATTGAAAGAAACAATATGAACGAAATTCTAAAATTATAGTGAGTTCGTAAATAGAACGAGATTTTAAGAAGAATCTTCAACCGTATTCTCAAACGAACATTCTATAGGAAAAATAGAAGCATTTCTCGAAGTTTCTGTTTTGTAATTAAAAGTCCCAGAGCTATAGTAAGTTCTCGAATTAGTCATTCTCAAACAGACATCAATCGACCAATATTAAACAAGATTCTAGAGGATTTTGAACTTAGAACTATCTGAAATTGAAGAAAGAAGATAACCGAAAAAGTTTCATTAGGTTTCTAGGATAATCTGGTTAGTTTCGAAGTTACCCTCCAAGAAAGGTTGGAAATAGAATTTTCAGAAAATTTTAGATTTTGTAGCCGGAAGAATTATGCATGTTCTGGAAAATTCCATAGAAGATTATTTCCACGACAGTATAAAGCAATTCTATGACAAAATAAACTAAGAGTGGTTTTTTAAACAATGCGTTGACAGAAACAATATGAACGAAAAAAAAAATTCCAGTGAGTTCGTATATAGAAAAAGATTTTAAGAAGAATCTTCGACCGCATTCTCAAACATTCTATAGAAGAAATAGAAGCATTTGTCGAAATTTCTGTTTTGTAATTAGAAATCGCAGAGCTATAGCAAGTTCTCGAATTAGTCATTCTCAAAGAGACATCATGAATCGACAAATATAAAAGAAGGTTCTAGAGGATTCTAAACGTAGGACTGTCAGAAGTTGAAGAAAAAAAATAACCGAAGAAATTTCATTAGGCTTCTAGGAAATTGTGGTTAGTTTCGACATCACGCACCAAGAAAAGTTGGAAATGGAGTTTCCAGAAAATTTTATATTTTATAGCCGGAAGAATTAAGGATGTTCTGGAAAATTCTAAGATCATTTCCCTGACAGAATGGAGCAATACTGTAATAAAATAAAGAAAGAATGGTTTTCTAAACAATCCGTTAGTAAAAGCAATGTGAAAGAAGATCAAAAATTCCAATGAGTTCGTAAATAGAAAGAAATTTTAAGAAGAATCTTCGACCACATTCTCAAATATTCTATTGAAGAAATCGAAGCATTTCTGGAAGTTTCAGTTTTGGAACTAGAGATAGCTGAACTGGTAAGTTCTCGAATTAGTCATTCTCAAAGGGACATCAATGGACAAATATTAAAGAAGATTCTAGAGAATTCTGAACGTCCAACTAAGGTATTTGAAATTAAAGAAATAAGATAATCGAAGAAGTTTCATTACTAGAGAGCGGATTTATAAGTACAAAAAAATTAAGAATAGGCGCTTAAATAAGCACAACATTTTCAATAAAAAAGTTTTGTTTTAAGCGAAAAAGCATTAAATAAGCATAACACTTTCATTAAAAAAGTTTTATTTTAAGCAAAAAACCATAAAAAACATAATCATACTACAAATCAAAGAACACTTCTTAGAACTTTGGATAAAATATTATTACAATAATCCTAGACCTTATATTTTACACACGCATTTCACTGTAAAATTTTTCCACCGATCATTTAAAATGTGTTTAAAATTGGAGAATGTGCGTTCAACATCCACACTCGTTGGCGCAAATTTGAATTTTGCAACTAATGTTGAATCTAACTCCAAATTTTCCACCTTCTGGCCTTGTAAAACACGAGCAACGTCGGAAAGAACACCGAAACCTGCATTTTTATTTAACACTTCGTCAAGTTTTTAAGATACTCTAGTACCAATATCACCCTTTACTGCGTTTGCTTGTTGTTTAAATTCTTTCACTAAGTTTATTGCATCTACCAATAACATGTTGGGTTTTTCTAACTTTTCTATTACCTCACATTTGAATTGATAATTGCTTCTTAGAAAAGCTAGATCTTGTCGCAAATCTTTGTTTTGCAAAATATTTATGCAATCTTTAATCGATTGAGAAGAATCTTTGCTAAACTCCGTAACTATTTCCTCAAATTCTTTGATATATTTGTCATAATAAAATGTGACCTGTAACCATGTTCCCCACCTCGTTATAATCGGCTCTGGGGGCAATGGTATGTTTGGAAATTTTTCCTTAAAATGTTGCACTCTTAGTGGGGCTTTAACAAAAATCTTTTTACCATTTCCCACTAATTTATTAACAGTAGGAAAGTGCAAACGTATTCCTTCAGCCACTCTGTTTAAACCGTGGGCAATGCAAGTAGAGTGAATTAAATTGGGGTACAATATTTTTAGATTATTCCCTGCTTTCAACATATAACGAGCTGCATTCGAGATCATCAATAAAATTTTATTGGCAAAAATAGTGACGTAAGACTGTCATTTACAAATCTGGTAATCGTATTGCCATTTGTTTTATCCAACATTTTCAAACTTACTACAAACCCTCGACTAGGGAAATTTTCATTTAAGATTCCAACAATTAAACTTGCCACGTATCTTACACAACTATCGGTTGTTTCATCGACAGCGAACCATAAATAATTATCTCCAATGCGATGTTTAATTTCGTTGTAAACTTGCTGAAACACTGGGCCTACATAATTTTTTCGGAGGGTACTTTCAGCCGGAATATGTCGATTGCAGTGTTTTTCAAGTAATTCTTGAAGAGGGCCTTTCTCCAATTTTTTTAAAGGTATATTGGACTGGATCATCATTTTAGATAAATCGAAATTAAACTGAAACTGCTCATCTTTTGTGGAAATAGATGCAACAGACTAATGTATGGTCTGCTGTTTAATTTTAGAAACTTCAAACATTTTCTTCCTTTCTACATGAAGAGTCGTTCTGACATGTTGCGTTACGTTATATTTTTTATCACTTTGAATCTAAAACAACGTACATATACAGGATTGACAAAGGAAAATAGATAAAAAAAAATTATTGGGCTTACGGTTTTCACACAAGCTCTGCAGAATATTTTGTTGTTTTCTAATTTTAATTCTGGAAAATCCCTTATCCACTCATCTGGCGTCGATTTTACTTTCGGCATTCTTTTAAAATATTAGTAATATTACCAAAAAGAACTCAACGTGTAACAAGGGAGAACCACGTATAACACTGTACTACGACAGATGCGATAGACTGATGGTTGTGAAATAAACGGTTCATTTACTTAAAAGTTTCCATTAGAAAAATTTTAAGGTAGGTAGTTGGGTACAATAATCCTTTTTTCTAGAAAATCTTCAACGGTCTTGCCTCAAAATGCCGAAAAAGAACATCTGGTTAAAAGCTTTAATTCATTATCAACGGAAGTAAGGATTTAAAGTCATAAAATCTATGGAGTATTTTTCCAATCCTATAATAAAATTTTATTACCCAAACGACCGGAACCTATTCACAGAAAGGGTCTTGAGTAAGTGTACTTCAATGGTCAAGTCCAGGTAAAATGCATACGATACGATACCCCTAACTAACAAGTATTTGTCATCCCGACAAGGCCGGCATTTGAACAAAATATGCATTAAAACTCATATTCGTCGAAAAAAGCATTAAATAAGCATATAAGTTTTAATATGCATAAAATTGAAAAAAAAGCAAATAAGCATAAAAAAATGTGTCAAATGACTCCAAATTGTATCATAGTTACAGATATAAAAAAGTTTTGAAGTGCTCTATATATTCAAAAACTCTCAGCGAAATGATACAGAATAATAAATAATACCTCGTTTATTTGTTTTTTCATTTATTAATTAAGTATTATTACTTCCATTCGTTTTTCCATTTATAAATCGTGCAAATTTCTCTACCAGTAACAATATATAGTGAATAATAAACACGCTACATTTAACATGCATGGGGAGGAACACACTGTCCCTGTCCGTTCTTCAAAAATCCTTTCTTGCAAACGCATCCAATCACGCACTGCAGTGTGCAAGCTCCGGAAGGATGTTTATTAGCACAGGTTGGATCGCACACACTACCACAGCTTGTGTGAACCTCATTAGGACCGCACTGGGCTAAAAGCAACAATGATAAAATAGCAAAAGGGCAAAACAAGCTAACTTACGTCTTCCCCAAGCAATCGCGACGAGCGCAAGCAAAACGACGGCACCAAGAGTCACTTTCATGTTTACGATGTGTGTTGCTTGCTGGATGTTTCAGTACTTGTTCATTATCTTATCCTTGCAGTTTATAAGAGGATCAGGTTATTGGTGTCTCTGACGTACCTGCAGAGGCCGAGCAACCTTGTTTATTTTTTTTTCTTCTTTATTTATAGGAGTAATTTACGTGTATGCGAGATTTCTTTGGTTTTTCTTTTGCTGATTGTGATGTTAATAGCACCTGTTCGTAAAAATGGGTCTGGAGTTATCTAGACGAGTTTCTTCGCCACTAAAGTACAGTCAATTAAGGCAGTCCATTAAAAAATAACATAGAATAGGTTGAAATTGAAGAAAAAAAATGACTGAAGAAATTTATAACTCTGGAGGCGTTGATTCGAAATATATAGCGTTTTTATGGTACTAGAACAAGATTTTCGAAATAGTCCATTTGAAAATTAAACTTAAAAAAAAAAAACTAAATTGACATATTGACATTTATATCAAATGAATCCGAAAATAATCTGAGCAAGTCTAAATTTATAAAAAAAATTTGCTTTGTGTAAGTTTCAAAAATGGTCGAAAATTTAATAATTTCTTAAAAAATCGAACTTTTGGAAAACTGTCGAAAATCCGTAATTTCTTTGAAAAATTGAACTTTTATAAAGTTCTCAAAAAATAAAAAAAAATCGGATATAAACAAGATTTTAAAAATATTATTCGGTGTGAAAATCAATTAAAAAAAAAAATGAAAATTGGCATATTTTATTTTGACGATTTTGAAAAACTGATAAGAATTTTCGAAGAAATGAAGCCAAAAATAATCCCTCAGGTAATTGTCGAAGATGGTAAAAAACGGTTGAAAATTTCGTAATTTCTTTGAAAAATGGGACTTTTGGAAAAGTTGCAAAAATGGCACCAGCGCAAGATTTTCGAAATATTCAGTTTGAAAACTCGGTTTTTAAAAAAATCGAAAAGTTGACACATTCCCTTACTAGTGGTGATTCTGTAAACATGCTTCGGAAAATTGTCGAAATTTTCGTAAAACGGAAAATTTAACTTTTGAAAAAGTTAACCAAAAATCTATTTAAAAAATCTGGGATATACACAGACTTAAATGAGCTGATTAGAAAAATATAGCGTGTTTGTGGTCCAGGAGCAAGATTATCAAATTATTAAGTATAAAAATCAAATTTTTTAAAAAATCCAAAGATCACCATATTTCTTTTTGACGATTTTGTAAAGATATTAGGAATATTCGAAGAAATGAAGCCGGAAATAGCTTTTGGAAGTCGGAATCTAGAAAAAATCCTTCTTGGTTTTTTTTCCAAGATGTTGGAAAGTGGGCGAAAATTTCGTAATTTCTATGAAAAATTGAACTTTTGAAAAGTTGTCTAATAATAAAAAAAATCGGAATATATGTAATATCGTTGATTCGAATATACAGTGTCTTTACGGTACTAGAGCAAGATTTTCGAAATAGTCGATTTGAAAGATAACTTTAAAAAAACCTCAATTGACATATGTATTTTATTTTATCGATTCTCAAAAACTGGTAGAAATTTTCAAAGAAATGAAGCCAAAAGTAATCTCAGAAAGTCCAAAGATAGAAAAATCACTTTGAGCAATTTTTGGAACACGGCCAAAAAATGCTTGAAAATTTAATAATTTTGAAATTTGGGAAAAGTTATGAAAAAATCCACGAAAATTCTGTCATCTAGATCTGGAGGTGCTGCTTCTAAAAATACAGCGTGTTTATGACACCAGAGCAAGATTTTAGAGAAATACAATTATTGAAAATCGAATTTTTGAAATCTTCTAAAAATTGCCATATTTCTTGGTGGCGTTTTTGTAAACATGGCAGGAATTTTCAAAGAAATAAGGCCCAAAAAAAGCTTCTGGAGGTCGGAGTCCACACAAAAAAATGTCCGTAGGTATTTATTTTCGAAAATGGTTGAAAAAGTGTCGAAAATTTCCTAATTTCTTTGAAAAATTGAACTTTTAGAAAGAAAAATAAAAAAAAACGGGGTATAAACAAGATTTTCAAAATAGTTAGTGTGAAAGTCAATTTTTTTTAAAAATTTCAAATTGGACATACACATTTCATTTGGCCGATTTCGAAGAACTGGTAGGAATTTTCGACGAAATAAAGACGAAAATAATCTGTGGGAATAGAAATCTAAAAAAAAACCCTCGATTTTTTTTTAATCTTGAAAACTGCCTTGTTTCATTAGAAATAAAGCCGAAAGTAATCTCAGGAGATAGAAATGTGCAAAAAATTTATTTTGGTAATTTTCGATGATGGTCGAAAAATGATCCAAAATTTCTTTGAAAACTTGAACTTTTGGAAAGTTATCGAAAATTAAAAAAAATCGGAATATAGATCTGAAAGTGTTGATTTGAAAAATATAGAGTATTTGTAGTCGCGGAGCAAGATTTTCAAAATAGTCGGTGTGAAAGTCAATTTCTAAAAAAAATTTGAAAATTGGCATGCCCATTTTATTTTGGCGATTTTGAAAAACTGATAAATATGGCGTGTTTATGGTACCAGAGCAAGATTTTCGAAATATTGAGCATGAAAATCGAATTTTAAAAAAAATTAAAAATTTTGCTACTTTGTAAACATGAATTTTCGAAGAAATGAAGCCGGAAATAACTTTTGGAGGTCGGAATCTTGAAAAAAATCTCTGTCGGTATTCTTTTTTCGAAGATGGTTGAAAAATTATCGAAAATTTCCTAATTTCGTTAAAAAATCGAAATTTTGGAACTCGAAAAATATACCGTGCTTATGATACCAGTGCAAGATTTTCGAAATAGTCGATTTTAAAGTCAAATTAAAAAAAAACAAAATTGACATATTTTATTCTGGCGATTCTGAAATACTGGGAATTTTCGAAGAAATGGAAGCCGAAAATAATCTCCGGAAGTCAAAATTAAAAAAAAACGCTGTAAGTAATTTTCGCAAAATGCGTAATTTCTTTGACAAATTGAATTTTTGGAAAGATGTCATAAAATCCACAAAAATTCTGGCCTATAGATCTGCAAGTGCTGATTCGAAAAATCTAATTTAAAAAAAATCTAAAAATTGATATATTTCTTAGTGGCTGTTTTGTAAACATGGCAGGAATTTTCGAAGAAATAAGGCGAAAAATAAGTTCTGGAGGTAGGAGTCTACACAAAAAATCCCCCTAGGTATTTATTTCCGAAGATGGTTGAAAAATGGTCGAAAATTTCGTTAATTTCTTTGAAAAATTGAACTTTTAGAAAGTTGTCCAGAATTAAAAAAACGGAATATAAATATGGAGGTGTTGATTTAAAAAATATAGGTGTTTGTGATCCCGGAGCAAAAATTCAAATTTTTTAAAAATTTCGAAAATTGCCATATTTCATTGTGGCGATTTTAAAGAACTCCAAGGAATTTTCGAAGAAATGAAGCAGAAAATAATATCTGAAGATAGAAATGTACAAAAAATCCATTTAGGTAATTTTCGAAGATGATCAAAAAATTATCGAAAATTTCGTAAGTATTTCTTTGAAAAATTGAACGTTTGGAAAAGTTGTATAAAAATCCAATAAAATTCCGGTACCAAAAATGAAGCCAAATCAAGATTTTCAAAATGGTCGATTTGAAAGTCAAATTAAAAAAATCAACCTAAATTGGCACTTCTAAGAAAATTTAATTTTTGGAAAAGTTAACGAAAAATCCATCAAAAATCTGGAATATACACAGACTCGAACGAGCTGATTTGAAAAGTAATACAGCGTGTTTGTGGTCCAGGAGCAAGATTTTCAAAATATGTATTCAATATAAAAATCGAATTATTAAAAAAATCCAAAAATTTCGTCATTTCTTTGAAAAACTGAACTTTTAGAAAGTTGTCTAAAAATAAAAAAAAATCGGAATATACTTATAATACTGATTTGAAAAACATAGGATGTTTTTGGTCCCAGAGCAAGATTTTCAAAATAGTCTGTGTGAAACTCATTTTTTTTTAATTTTGAAAATTCGCAGATTTCGTTTTGGCGATTTTGAAGAACTGATAGGAATTTTCGAAGACATGAAGCCCAAAATAATCTCTGGAGATAAAAATCTAAAAAAAACCCTTAGATAATTGTCGAAGATGGTAAAAAACGGTTGAAAATTTCGGTTTTTTTTTGGAAAAGTTGCAAAAATGGCACCAGCGCAAGATCTTCGAAATATTCAGTTTGAAAACTCTGTTTTAAAAAAAATCGTAAGGTTGAAACATTCCCTCACTAGTGGTGATTCTGTAAACATGTTTCGGAAAATTGTTGAAATTTTTGTAAAGGGCAAAATTGAATTTTTGCAAAAGTTAACCAAAAATCCATTAAAGAATCTGGAATATACACAGATTTGAACGAACTGATTTGAAAAGTAATACAGCGTGTTTGTGGTCCAGGAGCAAGATTTTCAAAATATTCGATATAAAAATCGAATTATTAAAAAAATCCAAAAATTTCGTAATTTCTTTGAAAAATCGAACTTTTAGAAAGTTGTCTAAAAATCAAAAGAAAAAAAATCGGAGTACAGATCTGGAGACGCTGATTCGAAAAACATAGGATGTTTTTGGTCCCAGAGCAAGAGTTTCAAAATAGTCTGTGTGAAAGACATTTTTTTTTAATTTTGAAAATTGGCAGATTTCGTTTTGGCGATTTTGAAGAACTGATAGGAATTTTGAAAGACATGAAGCCGAAAATAATAAGTTTTTGAGTGTTAGTTTGTGATAAAAATCTAAAAAGAAATCCCTGAGGTAATTGTCGAAGATGGTAAAAAACGGTTGAAAATTTCGTAATTTCTTTGAAAAATGGGACTTTTGGAAAAGTTGCAAAAATGGCACCAGCGCAAGATTTTCGAAATATTCAGTTTGAAAACTCGGTTTTTAAAAAAATCGAAAAGTTGACACATTCCCTTACTAGTGGTGATTCTGTAAACATGCTTCGGAAAATTGTCGAAATTTTCGTAAAGGGTAAAATTTAACTTTTGAAAAAGTTAACCAAAAATGCAAAAAAAAATGTGGGATATACACAGAGTTAAAGGAGCTGATTCGAAAAATATAGCGTGT